TAAATAATATAGAACTTTAAGCTTAAAAGTGTGTTAGGAGTTATACCTTCATTTACCTGTTTGGAATCTTCACCCATACATTACCTCTATTGTTCATCTTGGTGATTTTCATTTCATCATTCTTCTTCTTGTAGGAGCTGATTTTGCTCTTTAGATTGAACACTCTTGTTGTGCATTTCCTCTCGAAGTCCTTAGTGTTTTTTGAGATTCCATCTACAAATATCTTGATTTCCTTCTTGGTACGCATACTTTCTTGGGTCCATGGGGATTAGTCTCAAGAACAATTAATCTCATAAAAGGTTTAGGAGGATCAAAACCAATGCCTACTTTGTCAAAAATACATCTTTTATTTCCAAGAAGCTTGTTGAGGTTTTCTTTTCCTTTTACAAAAGTTTAAAGAGTTTTGTTTAAATCTTCAACATTGTTTTTCAAAATGTTTTTCTCATTGGCAATAGACGTAAAGTCATTTTTCAAAGTAGCATTTTCCATTTTTAAAACACCCACATCATTTGAAAGAGAAGTAACTAATTTCTTTAATTTAGAATTCTTAACACAAACGTTTCTAAATATGTAATGTAATTCATTGAAAGCACTTTCAAGTTCTACATAATTAGAAATTACCTCATCTTGAGTGGATTCTTCTTCTCCAAGAGCCATGAGACACAGGTTGGCTACTCCATCATTTTCTCCCCAAACGGCTTCTTTTTTGCTGCCATCCATCATTGAAAGTTCATGAGCCATGAGTGAGCCTAGGAGTTCTTCAATGCCTAATTTTGTTAGGTCTTTTGCTTCTTAGATAGCTGTAATCTTAGCTTCCCATTCATTTGGCAAAAACCTAAGTATTTTTCTTATAAGCTCATCATTAGTATAAGATTTACCAAGAGATTTTAGAGCATTAATAATATTGGTAAATTTATAAAACATCTCAGAAATATATTCAAATGATTCCATAGTAAAGAGTTCATAGTCATGAATAAGAATGTCAATCTGAGACTCTTTTATTTGGCTAGTTCCTTCATAGGTGATTTCAAGTTTATCCTAAATCTCTTTAGCAGTAATACACCCAGAAATTCTATTGTACTCATTTGCATCTAGTCCACACACAAGAATAAGCTTGGCTTTAGCATTAGCTTGAAGGAGTTTATAATCACGCTCATGAAATTCATCCTCAAGTTTAAGCACACTGATATGGTCTACTACCTTGGTAGGGATTTTAGGACCTTTAGTGATAATGAGCCACAAAGCATAATTGGTAGCTTGAAGATACAAAGTCATTTTTTCTTTCCAATGAATGTAATTACTACCATCAAAGAGAGGTGGCCTATTGCTAGCTTGTCCTACAGCAGAGTAAGTAGAATACATGGATGCTATGGATCAAAAACTCAAGATTGTTAAATCTAAACAAGAGCCCCAGGTTCTGATACCAATTGTTACCCAAAAAGTAACCTAAGAGGGGGGTGAATTAGGTTTCTACAAATTAAAATTAATAATACCCCAATAAAATTAACTACTAATACAACAAATTATTAACAAGCACAATGATGAA